GAAGCAGGGCCGCGGCCATTATCTGTGAGGCATGTTCCTTCCCAACCCAGAATCCTGGGCAACACATTCATCAACGCATCCAACCATACCGACGTAGAAAGGGACCATACTTCGTGTGTATACATACGCGGTACACCACGCCTTCCCAGCCATGCATGTGCAATCCATCCACTCGGATGTGCGAATGAGGGCGAGTGCAGTCAAGATTGGGTCTGGACTGGCGAGAAAAGCCTGCAATTGACCCGATACGCTGCACAGCACTTCCCTCCTGCCTTCAGCGAATGTGCAGTACCATGGAATCTCTGTATTCATGTACGGATACTTACTTTCATTGGCTACATACCTACCTACCTTCCTTGCGCGGGATGTATCCGTACCTGTTCCCGTCCCTGTTCCTGTTCCTGATTCTGTTCCCAAGCCAAGGAAGGTATCGTTACCAGCCTAGATACCAGACCTACCTGCCCTCGTGGGCCGCAACCTCTAGACCACTGATGTCCAGTCGACTTCCCACACGCCCAAACGCCGATGCCGTATCGCACCTATCGCAAGCCACCCCGGACCGTGAACAAGGACTTGGCCTGAAAGATCCATGCAACCAGACCCTTCACTGCCTCTCGCGCCCCCCATCTTCCCAGTGCTCCCCCATCTCTTCCTCCACCATCGTTCTGACACTCCCCTCCCCTCTCAAGCCTCTCCATCTCATCATATCCCTGTCACCCTTTTTTATCAAGGCAAGCGCCCCGGTTCTGGCCAGTGTCTTCCCAATCTCCATGTATTTAGACTTTGGTCCGTCTTTGCCCAGACAACTCATCATAGCCCAAGTACTTCCGCAATTCTTCAACCGCCTTCTTCCGTCGTCTATCCTTTTCTTGTCTTCATCTTTTCAGGAACCGACCAGAAAATCTTCTGCCCTGCACATACACCCGATCGCTTGCTGAACATATCTGTCGACGCTGGTCCATCCTCTTGCACTTGGACAAATTGACCGACCGAGTAATTGTCATTGCGTCATCCCAACCCGCCCAACTGGGCTCTTATCTCTGCCACCACACCCAACGTCCCAGTCCCAAGCTGGAAATCGACTAAATACGAGAATCCGCGCCGTCGCTTCCCTACACCAACCGAGCGCACCGCACCCTCCCGATCACCTCCTCCCACGCAATTGGCGACGATCCCTTCGCAGGAGACTTCAAGGATATGAAATACGGCGAACAGCTCGAGCAGGAATCCGTTCCAGAATGGAGTTTACGTGGGTTGCCCCGTTCCATTCAGTTCATGCAGGACCCAATTGGCACGTGAAGGCGATTCCAGCTGACCGGTAACTTTCGCCAACAGATAACGTCGACTACAACTCGCTCAAGCACGAGATCAAGGTTCATACGAGCCGCGACCAGGCGACCGCAATCGCCATTCCCGGTCACCAAGATGCTGCTCTCAAGCGTTTCGAAGATAACCTCTACCACGAGCTTTGCCAACAGCACGACCGGGTTGATCTTTTTGTTTCCAGCAAGGCGGACGAGCTTTCGCGTCGACTGCGTAAGTCCATGATCGATCGAAGAGTCTGTTGTGTACGGGACCCAATTGGCTGACGCAAGATCCAGAATACATCGCCGATCAGCTTCAAAAGTTGATTGTCAAGTGTGCCGAGGAGGGTGACCGTATTTCGATCAAGCGGCATCGACGGTTCGCCAAGTACGAAAGGGATCTGCTTCGTTGCGGAGAAGAAACACTTGCGCTCGCTCGTTTCATCAACGCCCAGATTACGGCTTTCCGGAAGATTACGAAAAAGTACAAGGTGGGTGTTGCACACTCTATCATCCGCAATTGTGCCGTTGCTGATTTGCTTCTTCAAGAAATGGACAGGATCTTCCACACTCGGCGCACGCTTTCGCGAAAACGTACTCGCCAACCCTAAGAGCTTTACCCGTCGCGACCTGAATAACCTCCAAACACGTTACGAGGAGTTGCTCAACACTCTCCGCACCTCCACGCCTCAGTTGAGCGAGCCCAGCTCGCCCTCCTCCGATGAACAGACACCCACGAGGCGAGGATCTACCGCAGAGAGTTTCTTCACGCCTTTGCCACCAGCAGAGCGAATTCCTCGGAGGCCCATCCAGCAGCAACAGCAACAGCACTACTGGAATGAGTATGACGATGGCAGCGAGAATGGTGGACAGGAGGAGGAATACGCCATTTATATCAACCCTGACGCAGACATGAGCTTTCCCGGCCTGGACTCGATGCGCGCGATTCTTGCCGCGCCCTTCCGCCACGCAAAGACGTGGTTTTCAAGGCGGCAGAACCCTGAGGGGCAGCGACTGTTGGCCAGCGAGCCCTTCCTCCAAAGCTACGGCGGCATTTCACCACTTGGCACGGATACCGACGACGAGTACGCGAGCTCTGATGGTATGCCTACGAACGGATATGCCACGCATTATGCTACGCTACCCAGCATTAACGAGCAGCAAGTGCGGCGGTACCGCGAGCGCGTTTTGTTCTGGGCCACCATTGGCTGTTTCGGCGTATCTTTCCTACTACTCCTTGTGGCTGGTATCCTCATTTCAACGGGCCGCCACAAGCTACGCGCAGAGGTCGACGCTGGCGTGACAGTTGGCGTCGTGGCCAGTCTCTTCAGCGCCTGCCTCGCCTTGGGCATGTCGCTTTATCGGCACGATGATTTGGGCATCTGGCAACGTGTGGCCGTGTATAGCAGCTTTTTCACAGCCTGCATGCTCAACGGTATGCTACTCATCCTTGTTGTGGGGAATGCAGCATAGCGTCCCCTATCTTTTCTTACTGTTTTGTTTACTTGGGCTGGGTTGTCATGACCCATGTTTGAGTCCTTTCCTTTGTCCATTGATTACATGCATCGGCGACTGGGAGAAATAGTGGAGGGGTAACTTGAATTTTGTGGGACTTGTTTTTATGTCTCTGAAGCGAGGTGAGGAATTTTGACAACCTTGAGGAAAATTCCCAGGAGCGTTTGTTTTTTTCTTGAAATCAGAATACCGGCCGCATCACTGCACTGCCCGCCTGTTTGTTTTTCCGCCCCCAGATACCATAAGAACATCAATACCTATTAGAATTGGGCAAAACTAATGGCTTTACCTCATCTCGGCGCCTCTTGACGATTTGGCCATCGTCCAAATTCCGGTGAGAAATGACTGGGGATCCGTAGTGCCGTGCCCGACCGATATTGATATTGCAGGGATGGAATTTTCTCATGATTCAGATGAATGCCATCTTTTCTTCTTCCCTCTATAGTCCATGATGATGGGTGATGTGTAGTATCCCACAAAGATCTCTGTTGTTTCATTTCCCCCCCAGTAGTGGCGGCGTCAAGGTGGCGGTCCGTTAACATGTTCCTCTTGGCCGGTTCCGGCATAAACCAGTCAGTTCCAGAAATAAACTGAACAGAGACAAGCCAAAGGGCCAAGAGCATGCCTTTGCTCGTTGGCCCCACCGCGAGCCTGAATGCGAAATGTCTGAGACAGACGGGGGGATAAGAGCTTGGGCAGAGAGAGTAACACAGCAGGTGAGTGACCCTGCGCGTTGCACTCGGCTGAGGGCTGCTGGAACAAAAGTCTCCCAGACTGGAGATGCCGTTGCCGCTTGGACGGGCAACATGTCGAAAATCCCACCCAGCCAGCTTCTCCTCATCCCAACTGCGGCCCATCTTGATGGGCAAGTTGACCCGAATGTCGCAAAAGCGCAGAAAAGGCACGTGCAAGGAATTTGTGGGGCTTGCTTTTGCTTTCCAGCATAAGAGCTACGTGGGCAACTAATGACACCATGAGAACGTTGCGCGCAGCCATGGAGTCGAAAATCCGGGTTGGAACCGCTTCGTCGATTAACGGCATGGGCCGTTTTTGGCGCAAAGAGGGGTTGCCTCATTATCCTCTAGAGGCAGTCTAGGCACTGGTCGTAAGATAAAGAGCTATGCGACGATACATCTGGCGCAGAATTGATATGCAGCAACTCCAAACTTAGCCTCTCTGCTTCATCGTGGAGAGTTCGATTTACGAAAACCCGCCCAGATCCGGAGTGCAGAGTCTAGCCCCATTACGAGCAAGTGCTTGGAGAGCATGACGGCGCCAGCTTCTGCCCTTTAACATCTGCAAAGTCCCTTGTTTTTCGCCTTTCAATTCTGAGAATCTCCCAAATTTAACGGTTGACCAGCAGAATTGCTTTTGTTGAACCCCAGCAAGTTGGTGATTGGCGAAGTGCCACGACCTAATTGCAAATAGCCCGCAATCCTTGATAGTTGAGCGTACCGTCCTCAATCCTTTGGACATTCGTACAAGAATGAGGCTGTCTGTTGCAGGAAATCGCTCAACACTGTGCCTCCAACGGCTATGGAGTTCTCCTTGTATTGATTTTCCAAGCAATGCAGCCATAGCCTTGCGAAACTCGTCGGGCATTCCTCAGCGCACAGGCGGCTCCCCTTTCCCCGCTATGCAGTCAACGGTGCTGCAGCTTTTGCCGGTGTTTGACGGAGAGCAGTGACTTGAGACTCGAGTCTCGCAAAAACTTGCTGCAGACTGAAGCGAGAATAGGGTTCATCGCAAGCCTCATCCGTGAGCTCTGGACCGGTCGCATGGAGGATGACGAAGTGTTGTCATGCGATGGTGCGTGTGATCAACACAGATCGCCCGGGGGCTGGCGAAGGCTGCGGACCTTCCTCAGTTCGTACTGCAATCCTTTGCAGAGAGCTCACGGTAACACGGCTGACGCTGCCGCCAGACGTGGATGTATAATTTGACGTTTCAACATATACACATGAATAGTAAAATATGCCGGTGACATCTCGAAGCAGTGCGATGTGTCATCTCCACCGCCGGAGGCTCTGTTCGGGCGGAGTCGAATTTTGGTGTCTTCCGAGGGGCTGAGCTTCAACTCATTCTGGAGCCGAATAATGTCCGCAAGTCATATTTCCGAGGGTACATCTAGACAAGTTAGTCTTCAAAGCTCTCAGCATGCTTGAACCTATGGCGGATTGCTCACTTTTTGCACATTTTGACGCCGGTGCTCCTCGCTTCGTGGACCCTATCGAACTCTTCCAAAAGCCATCCTGTGACAAAGAGTTAGCAAATCGTTCTCTCTTCACGCCGTCAGAGATCATACGAGAACAGGCCCATCTTTTAGCTGTGCTCTCAACGTTCTGTCTAACTTCCGCCATGAGGGAGTCTGCGCCTTCTATGAGAGAGTCGTAGTGAAACAGAAGTTGCATCGTATGAAAGAGAGCGTATGGCCAAACCGCAGCGCAGTGTTCCAAGACGTCATCGCGGTTGGAATAGGCGTTGAAGATGCCATTGGAGCCATCAAGCACGAGACCAATCGTGAATTTGATACCGGCAACTGCCTTCTTCATTTCCATATCTGTCTCTGGATCACGGGCAGGCATCCCTGGTCTATTGGCAGTATACAGGAAAGAGTAGAAAAGGAGGCAGAACAAGCTGTGGCAGTCTTAGCATATTTCCAACCGCATCGGCGGCTAGCAACGTACCTAGCGCAAAGAGCATAAGTGTTGAGGTTCTCACTCCAAGTCTCGGATCGGGTGATAAGAGCCTCAATCAGATCTCTCGTGGCGGACTCAAGCTGAACAAACGAGTAGACAGTCGGAGGCTCTTCGATCTCAGCATTTGCCGCCTCCCAGTTAACGGCGTAACCGAGAAGAATGGCGGCCTGGCAAGACCTCTGAAAAGCGCCGACGCGCACCGATGCTGGGATTGTGGTAGGGTACCGCTTGATCATCTTAACAGGCCCGTTTCTGTCATTGTCCCAAAGGATGTGCTCCGTTGGCAGAAGGTCGTCATCGGAGGGCATGTCCATCTGGAGCGGTGTCCAAAGTGTTGCGGATTGCTCATGGGAGATCCTAGTCAAGTAAGCAAAGACACTGGTGAAAGACACCAAAACGCTCTTACTTGTCCATAATCACAAGAACCCACCACAGAGCTCGATTTTGTTCTTCTTCGGGCTCAGCAGCCAGGTCCTCTTCTTCTTCCACATATTTACCCGGTCTCAGATTCAACACCTTGCCGATGGAGGCCGCCTCGCCGAATGTACGATAGCAACGAGTGATGTCGCCGTGCCCCAACTCGTACAATGATAACAGAACACCACACTGAACGTGCTCGATTTTAGGTTTCGAAAAGGCTTTCCTCAATGTCCATATACGCTTGGCCGACTGGTAGAGCGGATGATGAAGCATAGCGGTGGACGAGAACTCGTCGCAGTTCCAGATAGTTAAGAGATGGATGCACAATACAACCAACGCCAAATCAGAATCGTTGGGGTTGCTGTCAAGCTGAGCCGCGGCACAACGTATTTGCCAGACCTCCGGGTGGATCACGAGGAGCCAGGTGTTGACGGTGTTGAAATAGGTGTTGATCGAAGCTTTCCAGTCGATTCCGTTACCGTTCAAAAGCTGCATTATCTGACCAGCAGTGAAATCAACCTGGTTGAGCCAGTCAAAGGCAGGCCGCGCGTCGCCGTTGGAAGAAGAAGAGGCATTGCCAGCGGCGCCCTGCGAATCAACAATGGTCAGGGATGGCGGGTTGACGACAAAGTCGTAGCAGCAGTTGGTGGTGAGTCTGCAAGGATAGTCAGAATACCTCGGTGTTGACAATTTTGGCAGGGGCAACCTCTCTTTTCTTGGAGGAAGAAAAAAAAAACTACTCACCTGGTGCATCTAGAGCAAGCGGGCAGACCTTTGTCGCACTTCTTCTTGGTTCGGGTGCATTTTTCGCAAGCGCGGTGGGCGCGGGGCGGGGCGTCTGCGGCAGACTGGTGACTTGAAGACGACGACAACCGATTTGTGTAACGCGAAGTTGAGTTGACGTTGTCAGAATCCTCGGACGGCGGCGTCACGGCAAGGCGTTGGACCTGTCTCGCCATATTATCTATCGTGCGTCTTGGTAGTCGCTACCTCACGGATGTTATATTTCCAAAGAAGCAGCGCAGCTTCAGGCAAAGAAGCGCGGGTGCCGCCAAAGGGCAAAACGACGCGAAGAGATAAATTGACGCAAGAGATGGTGGAAGCAGAGTTTCGTTGGTGCGAGCCTGGGAGGGTCAAAGGAAAAACGAATTTTGGATGTGTCCCACCACGAATTCGATTCTGCAGAAAGTTGTCGGCAGGGACAGCACAGCAGTGAAGTGGACTATCCGCGAGGTGATTAAGCACAGCCGATCAATGCATGCAGGACCGGCAGCGGCAACAGCGAGCGACGGCAGCGGTAGCAAATGCAACGGCAGAGGCAAGCCTAAGGTAGCTTAGACAGACGAGGTCTTGGGGATGTTTGGATTTGTTGGATTGGAGCTGGGCTGAGGATTATTAAGGTGAGGTAGGCGCAACCACAAGCTACGGATACCTACCGCAAAGGAAGTGTACGGAGTACTTCCATTGCGTACCCGTACGGGAAAACACTAGTGTTGAATTGCTAGCCGTTCTCTCAACTGCGATGCTCCCTACTAGTGCCGCATGCTCCACAGGTCCAGACTCTCCGCGAGTGGCCTCTTGTAGCCAAGAAGGGACTCAAATGGAGGGGGGCAATGGGGGGGAACAAGTCAACCCAAGCGGATCCTTCCTCGATACAGTCTTAATCCCGGCCCCGCTTACCACTCGACGGCCGCTGAAGATGGGCACACATCTTCAACCATGTTCAATGCTCAATGCTCAATGCTGTCCATGTTGTTGCCGCCCATGTCACTCGTCTCTTTGTTCAAACCATGGAGGCACATGTGTAACACGAGAACGGCGAACGGGAGACAACTTGGCAGCCTCGCTCTTTGCTCAGTAAACAATGACGACTCACGACAGCCAAGCCCGCAGGAAGGTAGGTATTGGGGACGGTTGCGATCAGCAAGAGCCGGCTTGTTTCCGTTTCTTTCTTCCAGCCCAGCAGTCTGTCCTTGTGTGGCGGCTACATCGGATAATGATGTCTGACGCTGTTCAGTCTTGGCCAGGCGACGCCGTGAGGGCCAGTTTCTGACTGACACTCGCAATCAAAGACACAAATGTTCTAGCCAATGGAACAAAACATTCTCTGCACATCTAGATGACTGCACTATACCAAAGGTACATACCGAAAGCCCGGGTTCGAGACTTGTGGCCAGCAGCGGCAGATTCCAGATTCCAGATTCCAGATGCTTGAGTTCTTCCCTTCCAATTGACAAGGGAATTCGACAAGATGGGAAAGATAAGCTACGGTACGTATTCTTTCTCGGCACCTGTCGTGCTTCCTTCCCGAGTCTTGTCTCCTCCTTGCTCCCGATCAGTGATCACTGCCCATTATTGCCTGCCATATCCACACGTTCCGTCCACATGTGCCCCAATTGCCCCAATCATCTCGGGTGTCACCTGCTGAGCTGCGCTTGGGCCCTCGACATCGATATCTTACATAATCCACAGTCTTCTGCATTCGTACTAGTGTCACCCTCACCCATTATCCCATCACCGCAACGGACATGACCTCCGCCAACCAACAAGGACACCATCAACATTTACCACCGATTGCAGCCAGATACTATCAACATCTTTTGTGTCCTATGTCTCGGTGTGAGACAAGCCAACAACGAAAATAGACAAGACAGTTACACGCAGCCTGGTAAGACGAACACCTCGCAATCTTCCAGAACCAATCGAAACATGCTAGAATCATCTCAACAACCCGCATGCGCGACCGCGACCGTCGTTACCCCCGAATCCGGTCCGGAAGAGTTGAGCAATGACGTGCCGCATCGCCTCGAGTCATCAGCAAGCCCCATGTGTCTTCACCGCAGTTCCCTCACGTAGGGCTGACACGATGGATCACGGCGCCCAGGAAAAGCTGCCCATGCCTTCCTTCATTCTGACGACCCCTGGCCAAAGGGACCATTCAAGCCAGCGACGGCTCCTCATCCGACGTTACACACGTTACACAGCATTTTCTGTACCTATTCTCTCGGAACTTTCGTGCCCATTTCCAAACTTCCACCGTTACTTCCCTTTGTTGTGGCTAGATTCCTCTTGACGTCGACGATTGGTCATGCGGACGAACTTGAGCCCGCCTTACGGCTTACGGGAACGGATTATTTTGGAGATAACGAAACGGTTAAAACCAGATTTCTGGGTGTCGGCCATGACGGAGTCGGGCATCTTCTTTCCAACCGTCCCGTCTCCTCCACTCCCTCCCACCGTAGGCACCGGAGGACGGGAGCCACGGCTTGTTCCGCGTGGATTCTGCAAGGATACAGTTGGTCAGCTTCGCGGTCGCAGACTCCCAAGCTGCACCGCTTCCACATTGACGCGACATGAGCCTTTCACCAGGGATCCGAATCCTACCCCCAACCTCTCTAGCGACGTGCAGCTTTTCGGGGGCCAAAACTGCTAAACATGGCCGGCACATGAGGAGTTGGTGTGCTGTGAAGGACAAGCTCCACTTGTAGCCGATGACCTCCGCGGTCCTCGGCCCGGGGCGACACTCTGCAAGGTGGGAATTCGCCCGACAAACGTGTAGTATGCTTCGGCCGTGTCCTCGGCCGACCGGTCTCCGCATCCGGATGCTGCCAGTCGACCCGGCGCGTTACGCCGGACCAGTTCTGAAAGACCATGACTGGGATCAAACATCCAATGCTCCAAGGCTATTCCCCTGCAGATGCAGGAACTTTTGGAGCAGTTTCCCCGCGTTGCGTGCTTCCCGGTTGAGTCATTCGGCTTGTTAGTGCCAACAAGCCAAGGAACCAACTTCTTTCGCCCTTGCGATGACATACCGAAGACCTTCAAATCGCGACGCTTCCCATGATGTTGTCTGCAGGACCTTATCCCGACTCGATCTATTTTCAGACCACCTGTCATACCAACAGAATTGGACACGGCACATTTCTTACTCTTGCCCATCATCCCATCTAGCAACCGGATTGTGTCATTGTTTTCGTCCCCCATCAGCCAATTGAATGATAGTTTCGCACCGTCTGTAAGTCTTTTACCCACTTTTATCGTATCGGCTTCGGCTTCGGCCTCCCACCAGACCTTCATACCTTCCGCTAGACACTACATGACCACTTCCCAATGATCTCGTTGAACCTTGGACTAACAAACTTACAAGCCCTCAACAACACTTGGAAACCCCGGAACAATGTCTAAGCCACAATTCCGCATCCGCCCAGGAACCTCCGCCGACACGGCAGCCATCGTAGACGTCTACATGGCCGCCTTCGGCAACGACTGGGCCGTCGACAAGATGCACCCCCGACGCCGCGAGTTTCCCGAGGACTGGCGCGCCGCCGCCTACCGCTACTTCTACGCGCGCTACTGGGGTCCCGAGCAGCAGCTGTTCCACGTCCTCACCGTTCCAGACCCCGACTCAGCCTCCGGCGAGCGCGTCGCCGCGTTCAGTTGGTGGCGCCGCCCCTACCCTACCCCGGCCGAGAAGGCCGCGACCGAGGGCTACCTCACCCTCCGCGGCTGGCTGAAGCCCATCTTGCTCGGCATCAACTCCCTCACGGATTACCTCTGGCCTCCGAGGTCTCTCGACCCGGCCATGCTCACCATCTTTGACGACACGCACATCGCCTCGGACGTGCTGACGCAGGACCCGGAATACCCGGCGCGCAAGACGGCGTGGTACCTTTCGACGCTGGCGGTGGCGCCTGGCGATCAGGGGAACGGGTTCGGGTCGCTACTCGTCCGGGAGGGACTGGCGCAGGTGGACAAGGAAGGCGTGCCGGCGTGGCTTATCGGGCTTGTCGGGGTTGAGCCGTTCTATCAGAGGCTCGGGTTTGTGATCAAGGGGCGGGCGAATGTGGGGAGGCTTGCGGAGTGGGATGGCGGGTCAATTATGTTTAGGGAGTAAGAGAAAGGTCTACCTTGGACTCTGGAGGTTGAAGCTTTGCACGGCTTCTTGGGTCAATGGAATTCATGAATGAGACGACGTATAGATGAACTCACGGGGTGTATAACTTTATGATATTGAGAGCGACGGGGATTTACTCTTTGATATCTAGCGTTGATAGAAGAGTGGGAAGAGAGCAGACAAACACAATGCTGCAACGGCAGTTTGTGCGGTTTGCATGGGCTCATTAATCATACCCAAACCATCGGGAGAGAGACCTTTTGTAGGGTGAACTTTACATCTCAACACCCTTTTCCATCCTGTTACAGATAGGCTATTGTTGTGATTGTGCTTAATCCTACACGAAACTAACCCTCCTATAAAAAAAAATACAAAAAGAAAGAGGCGCATTTTATTTACTGAGCGTCAAGTGAAAGTCCTCTAGAGTTGTTGTAAGTGGTGATGGTACAACTCGAGCTTGTGGAGGTCAAGTCCTCTAGGTTTACCTTTAACCTATTCTGTCTCGAGGATAGGTTTACAGGTGGTGTAGCGGATTGCGCCATTCTGCTGTGAAGAGGGAGAGAGAGAGGGGTCGGGGTTCGGCACTCTTTTCCAGTAATGTACTACTTTACCTAACCTTTTCGGCGAGATATTTGCCAATAACCACCCATCGAGAATCGATCAAGGCAGATTTGCAAGACGGAACGACATCAGACAATGTGAATCGTCCAAGTTTTCCACAGGGGTAGCCTCGGAATCATGCATTCTCTCCCTTGATCTATTTCCCCCATTATTCATCTATCAAAAGAAGACACAGCCAACCACGACTTCATTGTTTGGCTATCACATCACATCATTTCACACCAAGGCGTATGGGAAGGATCTTAGCTTAACTGCGTATTTCATTAGGCTGAGCTATCTAAGCGTTCAAAGCCCTTGCAAGACGAAGCGTTATCAAACGAGGTTCAAGGAAAGTTTTTTGGTTTCGCGTCCGCTTCATTCCGCCCTTCAGCCATCTTCCATACTCTCCTCCGGTTCCCTTTCAGATCTAGTCGTCTTTCCACGTGACAACTTGTCGTTGCTCTGCGACTTGGACCGATTCGTGAGATGTAACGACCCACTGTCAAGAGCGTGAAAGAAGTCAGGGGAAAGAAAAGAAAGAAAGTTGGAGGGGAAAACCGTTCCGCAAAACTGACCAATGGCAGAAAACTGCAGAAGAGCTGGAGACGGGTAGAAGCGAAGAGAGAGGAAAACGCGTTGGAGGCAAAAAAAGAAGAAAAAGAAAAAAAAAGCAAGAACCGGAAAAGCCAACGCCGTTTTCAGGTCCATACTGAATCCCAAAACCCAGTCCCTTCCCATCCATCCGTCCGCCAGAAGAACCCACCCAAAACCGCCGACATCCTCCGTCCGTATTCGTACAAATGCCAGTTCCACTCCCTACCATCACCCGAGTCGTGCTTCCAGATCGACTTTGCTAGAGGAGCAAAGAGTCGGAAATAGTGAAAGAGTTGCCCTGGCCATCTAGGACTTTCTAAAAAAGAAACCCAAAACCGACCCCCGAGTTTTGCTTGTGTCAAGCGTGTGCCGTTGATCCGTGCGATGTCCAGTCATCCATCATTCGATCGTTGCCAGGGCTGCAGGTACGTGGCCAAGCCCTTGCCGAGAGAGAGAGAGAGAGAGATAAAAGAAAGTCCGTGGTGTACAATGTGAATTTTGTTTTCCGCTATTCCTCATGCAAAAACTGGCCGTGCAACGAGAGGAGGAAAAGAGAGAGAGATAATTAAAGAAAGAGAGAGGTGTAGGAAAACCAAATGACCGCTTGCCGTCCCCCAATGTTGACTCCGATTTTGATGCCGTGTCGACGTGACATGAATGCGGGTATAAGGAAGGCCGTTTCAAAAGAGTGCTTGTTTCTTGTCTCGATCTCGGATTGCCCCAATCAATGACGGGTGCCGTCATTCATGGACTGCATGGGCTGCATGGGTTGCATAGGCTGCATGGGCGGGGTGGCGTAGGAGGAATGGCGCGAGTGCTCGGGAGTGCGATCATAGCCCTGCTGGTTTGGGGCCACCGCGAAGCCGTGCGCAGAAGGAGCGCGGTGCATGGCACGGGGTGCGTTCGGAGTGCTCTGGTGACGGGTGTGTCTGTTGGCGCCAACGGGACCAAGGCGAGCGGCGGGATTCGGCTGGAACGGAGAAGCGCCGTAGGCGTACTGCCGCTGAGGATCCTCATAGTAGTTGGGCTGAGCAGCCTGGGCGAATGGGTTGTCGTGAGGACGAGGGTAGGTGCCATCGTACTGGTCTTGCGGCTGCTGTTGCTGCGGCTGCTGATCAACCGGGTTGGGGGCGTATCCGTAAGGAGCGAAGCCCGAAGACGAGTTGGGTCGGTACGTGGGAGCCTGTCCCTGGTGGAAGCCTCCGCCAATCTCGCTCTGAGATCGCTGGTGGTATGCCCGGCGAGGGTCAGGATAGGTAGGCATGGTAGTCGAGGTCTCGAGGTGAGAGGCCATGGACTTGCTGCCGCGACGCTGGGGAGTGGGGGCAGGGAGGGGGCCGCCTTGAGGACCGCCGGCACCGAAGATGAAGGGGCCGGAGCCCATCTGGGGCTGGCGGTAGTAATCCTCCTCAGGATGGTTCTCGCGGATGTTGCCAAAGGCAGGGCGGTGCGGGATGTTCATGCGACGCATGCCAGACGGAACTCGAGGCATACCGGGAATCGCATTGCGATCCTCGTAGAAGCCGGCTAGAGATATATCAGTATTCTGGACCCAGTTTCCGGATGAGAAGGTGTGGTTACTGTCATGGCCCCAGTAGGCATTGGGCTGGCTGACACGTCTAGCCATAGGCATTGCCTCGGGTCTCAAGGCGACACCCATCGACTGGGAACGCTTATGAGCAGCGCCGCCGCTTGTCTTGCGCTTGAGGTAGGTCTTGGGCTTCTCATCGGGGCCGTCGCTGCTGATGGTGGGGAGGATCTCGATGTCGGGGATCTGGCTCAGGCTGCCACCGTCGATCTCGGTCTTCAGCTGAGCGACAATCTCCTGAATAGCAACAGTGGTGTATCCAGCACCGCACTTGCTGAGGAGCCATTCGGGGACGGCAGTGCCGTTGAGCATAGCACCGTCGAGCTGCTCGTCCTCGGACTCATCTTGGTAGGCACGCTTCTTCGACTCCTTCTTGTCCTCCAATCGCTTCTGCTCTCGCTTGCGGATGGCAAGAGACCAGCTGTTCACCACGCCTGCCTTGCCAGCTCTCTCATTCTCGTCGCTCCACTGCTGAACTCTGGCGATCTGCTTTTGAACAAGATCGACCTGGAGCTTTGAGTACTCATGGGCGTTGCGGTAACGGCTTCGCTGGTAGTGCTTGCGGCAGAAATGAACCCAGACGTGGGCGGGAATCATGCGGGTGCAGAGCTTGTTGCGACCAAAGATGTGCGAGATGGCCTTGCGAGGCTGAGATCCAGTGTCGCAGTTCTCGATGTACATACACTTGATCTCGTCGCTGCCCGACACGGCAGGGGGAGAATCGGGAGGCGACATACCGAAAGGTTGCTGCTGTTGCGGTGGGAAAGGCGCTGTTTCTGAAACCGAAGGGAAAGGTTGGAAGGTAGGCGCAGAAATAGCGGCAAAATCGGGCGCGGAAACAGCCCTTTTGTGAGTTCTTGAAGATTGATCTTGCGGTAATGATAGGTAGTTGAGGTTGTCTTGTTGTTGTTTTGAGTGAGGGCTATTGCTCGATGTAATCAGTAAAGAGTCCAGCTCGGAATGGAGTTTAAGTAATATTGGGCGGTCTGAATTGTTCGGAGAAAGTAGAAGGAACGAACGATCTCGTTTGTTTGGAGGAAGAACGGAGGAGTTGTGTGATGGAGAGGAAAGGGGGAAGAAGGATCGAGTCTCCGAACGGTGATTTAAATAGGCTGGAGAAGGAGGATTATCGTGATGCTCAAGGCGGTCTCAAGGTGGTGAAAGGGAATTCGATGTGAATCACAAGGCCTCCTTGGACCGCAGATTCGATTCACAGTCAGATGAAAGGGAAGGAGCGACCCGGTCAGGTCACGTGTGAGATCGCAGTTCGATGTGAAGTTCATTCACGTGAGGTCGAGGCTATCGTGAGGTGAATGAAGAGGGTGAAGTGAAGATACGGTAGGTAAAGTGAAACGAATAGTAGTTGGTAAAATAAAATCAGGATAGGGGAGGTGCGATTGAGTTGAGCCAGGTGATGGAAAAGCGCGATCTGGAGAGTTGAACGCGAACTGCTCCTGGCCAGCGATCTCTTTCAAACTCAAGACTCATGAGATCGAGGGCGAGATTTGGGAATGAGTAAATCACAAAGCGCATATTTTCACGTACCTCAAACCATCAGTTGGACTTGATCGGTTGCTACCACCCATACCTCTGGTGATCAAGATAGCATCTGACGGACTGCCTGGTCGCCCAGTCCCCTTCATCGCGGGATCCAAAGCTACTGGATCATGTTGACCCATCGTTCGTGGGGATGGAGGCTGAACATCAATCATGCCCGGGCCACCCATACCCTGCTGGTGATCGAGTTTTGTGTCAAAAGCCGGAACGTCGTTCAACAGGGACGTGAACGGCTGAATGCCGCTCACAGTAGATAAGGAGGATATCCTCGAGTGTCCTCCGGATTGATTTGAGGAGGTATACGATGACAAACTGCTGTGGCTGTCGGAGAACTTATGTTTCGGGGATTTGGGAAATCCTCCTGTTACGTGGTGCCCATCATCTTCGCGGGGGAGGTTGGGCCTGGACGAGATTAGAATCTACAGGTAAAACGAGAGCACCTTTCTGTAGCATGGAGACTCTTGCAATTCCGACGAGATAATCCCGTGGAAACACAATCGCCTTTCAATGAGATAAGGCCAGCGCAACGGCAGGGAAGACGGCGCCAAGTACTTGCCTTGCTGTTAGTTGAGCATCCGAATCACCGGAAATGCTAGTCCTTGGAAATGTTAGCCGCTGTGTACTATTAAGAACGATAGTGGAAACTGTCAGGAGCCCAGGCAACCTCCCAAGCTGGCTCACCTTCGGCTAGTCGCAACATGAAGTTGCGACTCTGGCTCGCCTAGGTATGCCAGGCTTCGCGAGGGAGTCAGTCTACGAGGTCGTCCAAATACACAAGTGCACCAGTGTTGCGCCGAGAACGGGACCATGCAATACATACCGGCCAGGGTGGGTACTCGTCATTGGAGTGATGTTGGCGGAATGCGCCATCTCGTGTGCCAGAGAACTGAGAGAGCTGGCCCTAGAATGGCAGTTCGACGAAGGAGCGTCGCAAGAGCTCGTGGAAGCCGACTGATCCACGTCGGATTCGCTGTAGTATGTAGGCTTGGTGTGGGAAGCAGGAAACTTGTTGTCAAGAGCTAGGTGAAGAGAGTAACCGCCCGCATCCCATGGCGTGCGGTTCCGCGGTGCTCTAGCGTCGCTTGTCCGCCTAGAAGAAGCTGTCTTCTCCGGGGACGATGTGGTGATTTGTCTTTGGAAAATCGGTACAGAAGTGGTTTCGAGTGAGTTGTCCCGAATAAATGGCTTTTTTCCCGCCGCTACGTTCAGTAGTGATGTCACGTCCATCGCTCAAGCGCGGACAACGTGGGAGAAGTTTTGTCGCCGAAACGAATCCAGTTTGGCGGTCCCTTGGGGTGATGACGTGATATGTGTCCCTGAAAGCTCCCTCTTTTACGTCCGCCGGGTATCGTGATGTTCAGTTCGTAATAGTCCAACTTGTAATCCTCAGTTTAGTTGTCGAGAACCTGTCTCTTGTTGTCGATGATAGTTATTGGTGAGAAGAAGATAATGTCCGATCTCTAGGATCCAGTCCGATACATCGGATACTCGTCGTCTGTTAAACCCAGGTTGCGAAGGTCGCACAACTAGGGGGACAGGTAGGTAAGGTGACAGTGGTGGGAGGAAGCGTAGGGAAGCGATAAGGTTGATGGGAGATCCCAAAGCTTTTGTGTGTGGCGCCCGGGAGGCGGGCAGACGACGAGGGAAGGGGAAGGGGTAGTACAGGAGGCGATGACAAGTTAAGAAGCAAACGATAAGAATATCAGACCTATCGTTGGGATCGCCGTTTCAGATTCGCACTGACAGTTCCAAAAGCGGATTGAAACAGCCGAAACACCTTCAAGTCGCCCAGTGGTGTACTTGAAGGGTCATCCGAAAGGGACTTTAACACCTCTTAGCTTGAACACGCCCTGGCAGTTCGCAGATGTCGGATCGACCTCGAACCGAGAGAAACAGAGCAGAGGAAACAGTGACTTCCTCGTACCGTAGCTGAGGCCCCAAAGCTGTACGATCAAGGGGGTTGACGGGTGGCAGTGTCAAAGTAGGAGACGTCGTGCAGACACGCGAGAGTGGCTTGCCGAACGCTGGTGCGGTTTTTCTAGATTCCTGATGCTCCGAATGCGAGGCTGTTTCCCAAACGTCGTGATCTTGTGCTTCGAGAAGAGTGCGAAGACAATTCCAGTCCAAAGGTTGAATCTGAATCGGTGCTCGTTTCCTCCGGGAGTACTTGTCAACAACGGCAAGAGGCTCGGCGAAGTTCGTCAAAGTTTCGTTTCGGGAGCGCAAGTACTATCATGCCATGGAAGAGGCACACGCCAACCTCGACATAAACCAAATAGTGACAGAATTTTTGGCAGGCTTCAGACAGATGCGGATGATGTCGAAATGTGAAGGGGGAGTTCAAGGCCAGTGTCCGGAAAGACACAAGAAGAAGAAACAAAAGATAGGACGAATGGTCAGCGAGAGACGGGGACGAGCCCGGGGGGTCAGGGACAGAGGTAAAGTAGGGCTGTGCTGAGAACGCATGAAGGGACGGTAGGGGTTGAAGACGGTAGCTGTTTAGGAATCCGGGCGGAGGGTGTAGAGACGATCACAACAGAAGCAGCAGCAGCTTCGAATGTCATGACTAGGTCAAATACGCTTGAGATGGGTACATGAAAGAAGAAGCAGACGACGACGACAGGGACGACGACGGATGGCTGGACCGAGCCCAACCGCAGTCTGTCAGGTCAGGGCTCCCAAGTCTAACAACCACGACCGACGACTAGGCTAGGGGCAAGGCCCGAAAGCCGCGAGCAAGCATCGGAGGAAAAGATGGGGACAGAGAGGAGGCTCGCAACGGGAGCCAGCATGATCACTGTGCAAGAGAAGAGTGGGAGAGCTAGTGAATCTGATCAGAGTTTCCACTTGCGGCAACGCAAGGATGCTGGGCATTATGCGTTGAAGGGGAAGGGATGTCGTCGTTGTTTAGACTTCCCCACAGTAGGTTTGGGCACGCCGGTGGGAAGAAAAGCCCCCGACTGGCCGCTGGTCTCGACGAGGGTCCATGTCCACTTCCAGGGACAGGGGGGGGGGGGGGCATTGTCTTGAGTTGAGGTGATTTGTGTAACTGGCTCGAGAAGTGGCAGCTTTCACATTTGCTGCTCAGGGCTCTATTATGCTGTGCTGTGCTGTGCTAGTGCGGGTGCACTGCCTGTAGCTTGTCCATCGTCGGGGACCATCATCCTGCTATCATCCTGCTTCTGCAGAGGGCGCAGGTGAGAACGGTGCTGAGTGGTGGTTTGCGTACTTTTTTGGAGGAGGAATGGTTGCCGTGGGAGCTTGGCGTGCTGGTTATTGCTGGTGACTAGGGCGACTCCCCGTGGCCTTGTGCTTGTTGCTTGTGCATCAGATTGGACCGTAGTAGATCATGGCGTCAGATACTCCGTCTGAACCATGATCTCCGCAGGGGAAACGTCCGGGCAGGGCTTAGATTTCCAAATAGTTAAGCCGATTGATATAATGGACGTGATATAGGCATGGCAGGGCGGACGACGGGATCTATCTCAAGTTTGTCGTTCCATTGGCACACTTCAAGGTCGGCAGAGATGCCGTAAACGAGCGCGGTTGTAGAATGGCTCCTTGCCGTTCTTTCAGGTCGCTCTTCGGTGGTTGTGCTGCGGCTGCTCGGTTGATGCAAATGGGAGGCCCTGAGGCACAGATTATCCATCGATCTGCAAGCTGAGACCCGGGATTGGGCGTGAAACTTGTCAAGGAAGTGCTTCGTTTGACGAGACTGGGATCCGTGATGGGGTGGACCGTGGATGGGGACAAGGGCTCAGGTATGCCATCTCTGACCGGATTGGTATCTGACCGTGGGCTAGAGAGGTGAGGGTGATGGGGAGGGGGCCGAATTCCCTGGGCACGCACGCACCAGACCTCGGGCATGTGCAGGTGAATGTTCAGTCGGTCGGGAGAAGCCGAAGCGAGTGCCGGGGCGCAATTGTTTTGCCCATGTCGCTCGGTGGCCACCGCATGGAGCGTGTTTTGGCTGTCATGACCCCCCTTGGCAATGAGATGTCGATTGGGCGACCATTGAGTGATACCGTCAAGACGGGTTGGATAGATGCAAGCAACCAGATGAGGCCAGCAAAACCACATGGCTGGGCGCACCAAGACAAGCCATAGGGCGGCCGGGAGAGGCGATAGGCGGCGGTAGACGGTAGACCCCGCCAACGGCCTAGTACTTCCTTTGTCGCCATTGTGTTGTGTGCTTTGTGCATGTGTTGCGGTTGCAATATCCAACGGCGCTGCAGCCACGCGGTGCCTTGGTTGCTTGGGTTGGGACAGAGAGAAGAGACCGACTCTAATCTGACGGAGATTCGGGGGCTGGGTGGTGCCAGTCCAGTCCAAGGGGAGGAGGAGGGTGCGAGCCTAGGAGCTGAGCATCCAGGTTGACTTTTGCGGCAATCTGTTTGGCAAATGGCAGCCCTTGGGCCTGTCTCAACTTGTCGACTGCCACTAGATGTGACGCCAGCCCGTGCTTCCGCCGTAGAAAACGTCTCTGCTGTCTGTGGCCTTCCATCCATCTCACTTCACAACACGAGGTGATGAGGCCCGTGTGCTGTTCTGGCTGGTTGCTCTTCTTTCTCTTGCTGCTTCTTCTGAAGCCATTTCAAGTGCGACTTTGCTCTGTGCCACTGACACTTCTGAGGCTCAGGACGTGGAGCCGGCCCTTGACAACAGACAATGCATCTTAGCGCATCGCATCGGCGGATGAGGTGTACGAACTGGCGGGAGACGGATGACTCCCATTTGCTTCACCGTCCAATCCAGCACGAACCGCAGGCACGTAGCTGCTCTAGGCGGCCGCTTGTCGACTGCAGGTAATGGATGTCTGGTTCTCGTCACAGCTGCACACCGGAACGCATGTGCATATGCCTCGTTTTGCTAACGTCCAGGATCCGTATCTAAGATAACGCGGCTGTTCAGAGGCCCTCTTCCGCATCGCATGGGATTCTTAATTGTGAGCATAGCCCTGAACGGCTGTGATGTCGTCGTAGTTTTGGCAGCTCAAAAGAGCTCCATCATCCATGGGACGGCATCTCTCAGTCGCGTGCTGCCAAACTGCCATTGGCCTACGGACAGCAGGGATCATGGCCCCTGCGCCAATGTAGTGCAGCCAACTACTCCGTAGACACTACGTAGTACGCAAGACGAGACGAAGCGTTGGGTCGCCCACCCACCACCTAGCAGCGTATGGCGTGAGAGCTTGTGGGAAGCGTCAGCTCGCCCGTAGCGACGAGACTCTGACGACGACCGATCAGTGCAGTAAGGATGGCGTGCTATCTCTGCAGGCTATTCCGTCAAGTACAGTAGTCTACTGGGCAGAGCCAGGCGCGTCAGATATTAAGGACTAACGGTACCCGTACCGGTACGTGGCAGTATATGAAAGATAGGGCGACATGAAGACGAGCAGGTTGTGAGAGCCGTCGTCAGCGCGATGCGGGCTGATGTGCTGCAGGGTATCGCATAGTGTGGCAGTCGCGAGGCCAGGTGCCGCATAGAGATGTATAGTAGGACGGCGGCGACATGGGACAAGTTCGGCCGTCTCGATACGTAGCCGGCGGACGATCCGTGGTGGGCATACCGGGGCTGCGAATGTGCGATTTGCGATTGGCCCATGGGAATCTGCCTCCACGTTTCAAGACGGGGCTGCTGCAAGCCGGGATATCGAGATGCGTCGAAGGAGTAGTGACTGGCAGCATGGGATGGGATAGAGTAGCCCGGATGCTGGATGGCGTCGTATCGCAGCGGCAGTGATGGATCATGGTTGCGGTGGCATGTAGTCAGCTTGCCGTGGAGGAGGGGATGAAGGGACGAAAGGGGGGAGGGACGGAGGGCGGGCGGGCGAAGGAAGAGGCTCTGATGCACTGCCAGAGTCTAGAGCCTAGCGAAGAGCAGAGATGGCTTTGATCGATCCGGGATATGTCGACGGTCAAGGGGACGCAAAGACGCTAGTAAGTTCAGACTTGAAAGGTGCCTGTTGCTTCATAGATTGATGGGAAGGGTACGTGTCGTAAGTAGATGGTTTTGCTGCGTGTCCGCACAAAAGTACTCTCTGTAAGGTGCAAATGTTGTAAGTAGATGAGTTTACGGACGGCGGGGGGGATGGGAGATGGGGCCACCATAGAATCAGATGGGATCCGTCGTGCTGCATGAGGTGAGGTTCAGACTTCGATCCAGGTCCTGTATCCGTAGCGTACCAAGTCGATGCTGTGTGTGGCGGAATCTAGGCCAAGGAGTCCAGGTCGAAGTCGAGAATGAGGTCCATGGGCATGGCATGTCCATGTTCAAGGCCCCAGCTCAGATGCCGGTTCCAACTTATCGAAGCTTCGAAGGGGGGTTGGCGCGCTGGTCCATGTCGAAGTGGCGCCGTGGCTTGGCTGATGGGTCGAAGATTGAGTTGGGGGGTTCACAACTTTACAAGTGACAAAGGTGAGTGGGCAAAAATGGAGAGTACGGAGACTCTGCATACGGCTGTTTGTTCGGATACATAATTAACACATAACACGCCTATGTGCCTACTACACTAAGACGAAGATGAGGTCAACTCAAAGATCGGGCTTTGAGGGTCGAACCGGGTGGAAGGGGCTACTTCTCCCGCTGCCTGCCAAGTCCAACCGTTCTCTCCGTCCATACCTACCTACAGGAAGTCCTTTCCTTCCTTTGGGGGGCCGGGCAGTGGTGGGACGACAAGAGGTGGGACGTCTCCTTCCGTGGGCCGGCGCCCGCCGTCCGTCATCCGTCGTCTCCATGCCCAAGGTACCGATACGTCGCATCCACCTCATGGAGGCACGCCGTACCCAAGGGCCTTGGAGTTTGGTGCCTGAGAGAGGGACGTCTCTTCTCGCTGGACCTGCCTTCCCTCCCAAGTTCCCATGGCTGAAATCAACACAAACCCTCACGAGGATCACGAAACGGAGTTGGGCCGGGCGAGGCTCCCCTTTCTGTCTTGCTCCTGGAACATTCTTAGCCTCCACTATCAGTACGGAGTATACATGGACAATAATACGGACAAGTCTGTTACGGGCCACGGTAGAGCAAGGTGAGGGGCAAAGTGGTGCAGGGGTCGTGACTATACTTGGACGTGTCTCCTGAGTCCTGAACATGGTGGGATGGGGTAAGAAGCTCAGAATAACTCACCTAATCACACGGCAATTGCCACGGACTCTATGGCTAGAGTCTAACTAATTTACGTTCTTATTTTGTTCCAAGAAAAGCCCATGGTGAATAATCGCAGTCTCGCGGCATGAAAGGCCATATTGCAAAAAAAAAAAAAAAAAAAAAAAAAAAAAAAAAAAAAAAAAAAAAAAAAAAAAAAAAAAAAAAAAAAAAAAATAAAAAAAAAACCACAAAAAAAAAAAAAAAAAAAAAAAAAAAAAAAAAAAAAAAAAAAAAAAAAAAAAAACATAACCATGACGACTTGCAATAAACCACAGTGGCGATAGCTAGCATCTTCCTTCAAACAAGATGTCTTGATACAGGGCATTTCCCTCTCTATAGAACCAACCAGTATGTCATTTGTCCCATCTTTGGCCATCCCATCAGCACATCGGTCGATTGAATCCTTCATTTCGACCACGTATCTGTAGAGGCTACGCAAGTGTGCACAGGACACAAGGCACACACATACGCACTCTCTACAATTTACTTTGACCACAATAGACATGACACACATGCCTTGCCGTTAGTCGAGCCCAGTCAGTCAGCCTACGGAGCTAGTGCCACCGTGAAGGGGAAGCAACCTGGACAAAAAGTGAAGGACGTTGACGAGACGAAGAACATGACAAAGTATCCGTCCGAGGCAGGTGCAAGATGGAAGGAAGCCTGAGGATGGAGACCTCGACCTGGGTACGTCCCCCGCCCCTTCCATTCTCCTCCTGTGCTCCGCGAGGTGGCTCTTTCCCTTCCCTTCTGTTCACGATGACAGAGAAAAGATACGTACCTGCTCCCCTGGGTGTGATGGAAGGAGGAAGGAGGAAGGTGTGGACTCTCTGGGTTTGAAGGTGGGTCTAAAGTCTCCACCCAAGAAGCTGCAGATGTTTCAGCTGATGTCCACTCCTCTTGTCGTTGGAGACAGCAATGGAACGTTGGGCGAAAGACTCAGGAACACCTTCAACGGTCACCCCAGCTCCCTCCGACCTCCTCACGCTTCTCTACCATCCCCCAGTCATCATCGTCTTTTACACTTCTCTGTGATGGAAGGCTTGTCTCGCTTTGCCCAATCTTGTCCAGCTTGCAGCGGATAACCTCAGCTTCCGGCCGCCGCACACGGGACGAAAGATCCAAAATCTGTGAGGTCCGCGAGACGGAAACCAAGATTCCACACGCCACCAGCTGCACTATGTGACTATGTACCTATGGCACTTTTACTTTAGGATAAAACGGCCATCGCAAAACGTCCAAAGGGAAACAAGCTTGCGTCGGGGCCATAAGACGCCAGAACAATATCGGCGTGCGATGCGAGATTGTCAGAAGACCAGACGCTGGCTTGACACGCCGAAGCACCCGCAGATGCAGAGTCTCGAGCTCCTTTCCCCCTTCAGATCCCCCTTCAGAGGGCTCAGTCCTAGCTTGACGGAATACGGCATGCTCCAGCAGCGTTTCTACTCGTTCCGCTACCGTCTCTGATCCTGCCCGTTGCTGGCGGAAGCATCAGAATCAGCAACAGCAGCTGACAAGTGTCATCGCATCGTCCATCATCACCGATCATCATCTCGAGCGACCAATAGCCCACACTAGCCAGCTGTTTGCTGACCGACCAAGGTCTGGACCGGCTCCGATCAAGCAATGACTAGCTCTCCCGCTCTGTCGCCCCCTCTGTTCCGCGTTCTTCTTCCGCCCTCTTCCCAAGTTTGCTGCACGCTTCGCTGACGAAAGTCGGTGAGCACAGGCACCCATCGCACACGTTGCGAGATGCGCCGGATCGTGGCCAGTCCTGCCACTAAAGACGATGGGTGCCACCTAGCGCCTTTTCCATGGCCTCAAGTAAGTTGTCTTGGTAGCAGCTCAGGTCCCTCAAGCTTGGCTTCCGCGAAGAAGATGAGTTGACGGAGAGGGATGCGACGCAAACTCGGCCCACGGAAGCTTGGGTCGACAAGGTCTAGCTCCAGGGCGCACCCGGAAACCATGGGCACCGGTACCGACACCAGCTTCATCTAGTTTTTTACCCTCATTTCTACGACACAGTAAGGAAAAACTAAGCGCCTGCCCGCCCTACGACGCTATCAAGCTACGGACGACACGTCTTCGTCTGAGAGGCTTGATTAGTGGATGCTGTTCCTAGCTCTTCGCCTTCGACACCTTACCCTTCGGCCTCGGGCCCGAGGCCTCTACGCAAAGATACCCGGAGACGGACGAGACAGGACTCAGCTGTCTCCAGGCCCTCTGTGGCCGCCGACAGACCAGCCCGCCAAACTCCAAAGCCAGCCCAGGTCAACAACCTCTGACAAGGACTGCTGCAGGGCGATATCCCTGCGCCGATCATCTCGAAGCGACAACCTCTCGAGCTTGCACCCTCAGACCCCGGTCTCGAGTGATTTACAATGGTTTCATCTCAACTTTTATCCTCTGCACTAACGCCATCATGATACGAAAAAAGACTCGGGACCTATTCCAGTGCCACTCATCCAAGCCACTGCCACTTGTCGCTGTCATTTGCCAGCACGAGCTTCACACCATCTCCAGTTTTCCGTCTATCTCCCTTCTTCGCGGATCTTTCTGGTGGCCCCAAGAGTTCGAACGACGAGGGGACGAGGAGTATTCTTCAGCGGCCTGTTCCTTGCGACTACGACGCTGGAAGTGTTGTGGACCGACGCCGTCCCAAATTCTGCTTACGGCCATGTGCCATTGCACACACGTTGCAGAGGCGGCGCCTTGCTAACCCCCGTCGGTGCCCGAATCACAAAATATTCCGCGAGACCAACATGGCCCGTATGCACCAGTACGTGCGAGCGGTCGGCAGAGGCGTGTCAGGTGCCTGCAGTGGAAGGCCGCTAACGTTAAGGTTAACCAACCTTGGTCTGGTTACGCCTGGCCTACTGCGTGCTCTTTACGTACTTGGCTCGACACAGTGCAAATGCCTTGGTCAATGATAGCGAGGCATGCGGTGTTCCTCGAAGGCTTTGAGGCGTGTCTCAAAGCCATTGAGCATACCAAAAAGGTGTTTGAAGGCCTCAGATGCCAAATGAGGCTTATGGCTATGGCTATGGCGGCATGCACGACACGACAAGTCAACTCATGTTTTGCCCCGTCCTTTGCGGTCGGCTCGTCGACATTGACCATCCGTCACCAGCATGGTTGCAGATTAGCGAGTCAGGCAGGCAGACAGTCATCCGTGGTGATGAGCCGAATGCTTGAGCAAGCGAACTCGATCTACCGGACCGCCCTCGGTCGGTTCAGCCGCTATCTCATCCCCCACAAGATCCTCCAATTTCCGTCCGCGCCTTGAGACAAACGCCGCTGCCGAATATAGAAGACTGAGAGCTTCCATCGAAGGGCCCGTGGGCACAACAAGCAGCAAGTCACCTGTCTGGGGCCTCTGGGGCAACATTGTTTGTTTCATTCTTTTCGTATTCTGGAAGCTGAGAGTGCTCTTCGCTAAGCCCTTTGACCAAAATTGTGACTGCTTGAGACAAAAACAACATCGGGTTTCCCTTTCGAGTCAGTCGGTCGTAACGTCGTAGCGTTGCTGTGCGTCTCACAGCAACGGTTTGAGAGAGAGAGCCTGTTCATTCGACCATCAGACTTTTCTTCTCTTTCTCTCCATTGTCATTTGCCCCTTGCGTCAACCGCCCGAGGCAATTTCAGACGTGGTGGACAGATGTAACTCCATCTGTTCCCCGTCGGTCTTTCTCGACTTTCCCATCCGGCGTTATAGTCTCACATGTGTCATCGTCTGATGGCGAAACCGAAAAGTTGGGAGGCGGGCCACGAGAGACAAGACTCGAGAGAGGAAAGGGGATGGAGGGCACGTCCGATCGCACACCTACCTGTGCTCCTAAACTTCTTCTTCTTCTTCTCTTTACCTTCGCATCGGCGGCCTGAAGAGGCCAGGGATCAGGGCACCTTTCGGCGTGCAGTCTGAACTTTGAATCTGTCCAGTATGGCGAAAAAACAAAACGGACCACAGAAATATGCCTTGATTGATCTGTGACAACCACACACATCCTTCTTGAAGAGATGACGATGGTGGGTTGGTCCGTGAGTGAAGATGAAGGTGGCGAATCCGAATAAGAGACGACATGTGCAACTGTCCTTGTCTCCTCTTCCCTGGTCCATGGGACGCCGAGAGCTCCCCGAACACACTCGCACTGGTGGGCCCCCCAAACTTCCGGACGCAAAGGCCCGGGTTGACTACACTACCCTCACGGGTCCGGCCACCCGTGAAATTTGCGGGTCACGGGCTGGCCATGAACACGGAATCGCGATATTGTGTAGTCCCGGGCGGTGTTGGTTGACTACAACTTTGGAGTATTAATTTGTTCGGCCTGTTGCCTAGATATTTCCAAGCCAGGGCAATCGTGTATCGAGGCTTTTCATTGGCCTGCGCCCAGTTGTAATAGAAAAAGACCTACCTAGGTTTGATTAGCGCCTCACGTAAGATTCTGGAGGAATAGGAGAAGAAGCAAGCACCGAACAATCCGTACAACGTGACTTAAGATCAATATGTTTTTCCCATGTTTCTTGCAACATTACAATTGATGGGTAGATGTAGGTGAACCTACTTTAACTGCGACGCGATCATTGTCATTCGTGGGTTGTTGCGGCCCATCATGTCCCTTGGAGAGCACAGCCAAAACAGAGATACGCACCCTAGCACCACAGCATCAACATCCAACGAAATGACGACGTCAAGCTCCAATTCATCACCAAAGGGTGATCCGTATCCGATTCCGGATCTTCCGCCGGGCACAACGATGCGCCTCAACATCGTCATCCTCTTCATGGGCTCGCGCGGCGACCTCCAGCCCTCCCTGGTCGTCGCCAAGCTCCTGCAGCGCCGTCATGGCCACCGCGTCCGCATCGCGAGCCACCCGCCGTACCGCGCCGCCGTCGAGGCCGCGGGGGTCGGGTTCTACGGGATCGGCAGGACGGACATCAAGACCATGATGGAGAGGCGGTTGCTTCCGCGGAAGGAGCTGAATGCGCTGGTGCCTGTGATCCGGGAGGAGTTTCGGGAGATGGGGGAGAGGTGGTGGGGGGCTTGCGTTGATGGGTTTGGGTTTGATCACGATGGTGAGGATGGGGTTGATGGAGGAAGAGGAGGAGGAGGAGGAGGAGAGGAGAGGGGAGCGTTTGTGGCGGATTTGGTCATGTCTACGATGCATGTGTATAACCAGACGTCTGCGGCGGCGAGGCTGGGTGTGCCGTTGCACCTGTTTGGGATGAACCCGAGGATTTTCTCGAGGGAGGTACCGCATTCGCAGGCTGGGTGGGCTTTGAAGGGGCCTAGTCGGTGGAAGAATGTTTTGTCCTGGTGGGTGCAGGATTTTATGTGAGTATTTTCCTATTCTTCTTCTCTCCCCTTTCCAGTTCTTTTCTTCTCGATATTTTGTTTCCCATGCTTTGTTCTGGGTCATTCCCCCTTTTGGGTTGGGCATATCATCACATTATCAGAGGAGCTACGGCAGGACGAAGTGATACCTCAGAAGGGAGAGGGCTCCTTCTATGTTCTTAAACTAACACACGACAAGGTTCCTTGAAGCGATGAAATCCGTCATCAACGACGTCCGCGTCAACGTGATGGGCCTGGAGAACATGTCCCCCGCCTGGTGGCTGAGCCAGTACAACAGGATGAACGTCCCCTGCACGTACCTCTGGTCGCCGAGGCTGCTCCCGAAGCCAAGTGACTGGGCGGACAACATCGACGTCGCGGGTTTCGTATTCGAGGACGTGCCGTCAGAGTATATGCCGTCTCCGGAGCTGGTTGCGTTCCTGGAGGCGGACCCGGAGACGCCGCCGGTGTATATCGGGTTCGGGAGCATGTCGTTTGCGAATGCGCAGGACGTGTTTGAGGGGATCTTTGAGGCGGTGAGGAGGGTTGGTGTCAGGGCTGTTGTTGGGAAGGGGTGGTCTAACCTTGTTAAGGAAGATATTGGACGCGTGAGGAATGGAGACGATGAGAGTCAAGGGGGCAGCATCGGCGGGAATAGAGACATGACACACATCTTCATCCTCGACGAGGCGCCGCACGCGTGGCTGTTCCCCCGGGTCAGGGCCGTGGTGTGTCACGGGGGAAGCGGGACGACGGCCATGGCGCTCCGGAGCGGGCGGCCTACGCTCGTGGTGCCCGTTGCCGGGGACCAGCCGTTTTGGGGCACGAGGATCCACGCTGTCGGGTGCGGGCCGGAGGCAAAGTACGGGTTGGCGGAGATGAACAGCCAGAGGTTCGAGGAAGGGCTGAGGGAGCTTCTGAAGCCGGGGTATGCGGCTGCCGCGGAGAGGTTTGCGGATACTGTGAAGAGGGAGAGACCTGGGGAGGAGGTTTGTGTTGAGAAGGTGCTTGAGACGGTTGGGGTTTATGAGAGGGAGGGGAGGTGTGTTGTTTATGGTGGACGGCCTGCTGTTTGGAGGGTAGCTTCGACGGGGAAGGAAGAGGGAGGGGAGAGGAAGTTGTCTGCTGTTGCGGCGCATGTTCTTGTTGAGAGTGGGAGGGTTAGGAGGGAGGATTTGAAGGTGTTGGAGGTGGTCAAGTGGCCTGATTTGACGGGGCCTGGGGATCCGGTGACGGGGTTGGTTCTCGGGATGCAAAAGGCGTTTGGGAGCGTTGCTACGGATGGGAGGACGGGGAGATGGGGAAGATTAGGTCTTCATGTTTTGAGAGGTGAGTTTGGCTGCTTTCTCGTGGCTTCCATGATGCTGTTGTATATCACTCATATGGTTGAGACTATGACTGACTATTGGTATCCAAAGCTCCCCTCACGATCCTGGCCGCCGTGGCGTTTGGCCTCTTCAACCTACTCGACTTCATCCTCTACAAACTCGCCTCGCCTTTCGAGCCGAAGCTCTACGCGAGTAACCCGCGGCTGTACTCCTACCCGCGCATGCTCTGCTTCCTCCTATTCGCGCCCTTTGTCGAGCTAGCTTCCGTCGTGACGCAGCCTGCGCGTTTCCTGGCGGGTAGAAGAGAGGGAGAAGGAAAGGGGGGCAGAAGAAGAAGCTTACCAAGAGTGATCCTCGAGGTGCCGCTCGCGCTTCTGAGGGTGCTTTTGGCGCTGGTCAATGTTCTTGTTGGCGGGTTGGGTATCACACTTCGGCAGCTGGAGCTTTTTTGTGCGAGGGCTATGGGGGAGAGACCTGTGGGGGATGTTGTTGCCGAGGCGAGGATTCGGCAGGGGAGGGTTGAGGCGGAGGAGTTGAAGGTCGAGGGAGTTGAGAGTGGGAGGGATTTGATTGGGGATATTGTTAGGAGGTGGGATGAGAGGAAGAAGGCTTGAGTAGCTGCTGTTAATACTGTACAATAATGTGGTCACTTTGCGATCGAGATTCAGGGTGAGCGGATAGTTCTTTGGGCTGGTAGGATGGGTATCAGGACCTCTTCCGGTGGCTGGAGTCGAGTTACACTGTTAAGATATTTGTTAATGGAAAGAAACTTCGGGTTGACGGCAAGCCTGTGGCGGATACATCTAGCCTGTTCCGTTGCACAAAGGTTCATCTGATTCTCTAAAAGGGGGCGTGTAAGCAGAGGATACCTTCTAAAGGATACGAATATTCTCCGATACATGCCACGTCGTGTCACGGGGCTTGCATCTACCGTATTGCGGACAGCCGGCGCCCCGGGCCACGTCAACTTCTTGTGTTGCCAGCCATGGGGTAAGGCGAGGTAAGTTTTGGTAGGCTGGTAGGATAGCTGCGTGCGTGACGTGTACGATTTCGGGATGTTTTTTCCTTCTTTCTTACGGCATCTTGACCGTGCAGGCGGCTTGCTGCGTGCGGTTGTGAGACGTGATCGATGTGTATATCGGGTTTGGTTTGGGGAGCGTTTGATCGTATCTGTCGGTCAGCCGTTCTTCCCGCCGGGCATTTATCATGTTTAAATCTGTAGTTGGATTCAGTCCAGGGTGGTACTCCCCAGCGATGTGTTATTCATCTAATATTATTCCCTTCGCAAGGTATTTCGATTGATTCTAAGATTAATCTTGGAAGCTCTCGTCTCCAGATTTCTCAAGGCGTTGATGGCGGTGGCCTCAGCAGTAACTGTATGGCCTCAGGGGTGGGTAAAATCGTAGTGAAGGGTCGGGACACGTCAAGGAGGTTCGATTGACAATAAAGGTGTTTTGTGAAACTTCAGCTAGCCAATACGATAGCTTGCCACCACCAGTCATGATAGTTCCCGTGTAAAATTGATTTGTTTGGATGAACGTCCTGCACATGAACACGTTGGTCTCAAGTCCTCCTCTTTTCATCCTCACAAAAGCACAAACAATATGAAGCGAACTGAGAAAGAGTTGCACCTTGAAATAAGTCTATTCCGAACTTGAAGTACTTCTGAGCCCTTGGAATAGTGAAATCAAAAATTCGCGGTAGAGTTGACCACTCCCAAGAGAGATCGCTGCGAACTTCATAAATCCTAAAGCCGATTCCTCTATGGCTGAAGTCCGTGGAACCTTGACTTCGGGTCTTGTCACGCCAAGTCGCTCGGAGAACAACTTGGAATGACCGTAGGTTTACACAATCAAATGCAGATCTCGTGAGATTTCGCGCGCTCTATCTCATTTCTGCCTATGGCCGTGGGAAAGCTGATTCCCTATGTTCCGGAGCCACATGACCAATTGCTCGACTTGCAGGAGGCCATGCGCCAAATTGAAGAGGACAGCCTGTTCTTGAACACTGTTCTTGAACATTAGTTTTTCAAACACTGGTACACATTTTTGGTAGTAATTCTACACTATTTACCAGTGAACTTGAATTCTCAAAAACCATTCCAGGGTTGAAGCGATGGAAATGATTGCATAAAGGGGTTATGTATGTAGCAGATATTAGGCACTCCCCCACCTACCACCTTCGGCGATGACGCCTGCAGTGCTTAGCGCGACTCCATGCGCTCCATGCGATCGCTCACGAAGCTTCCGCCGCCGGCTTGTGCCTTCAGATCAACTCAGCGTCGAATTTTCCACCCAACCTGCTTGAAAATACATATCTCTAGAGAGAAGGCCTACGCGATGACCGCGTCTCTTCTCGCCTCTCAATTCCCAAGACGAAGACGCGGTCCATTTGGCTGACCCCAATGACGCAACCACCGCCATCAGTGAGTCTTGCGGTCACTACACCAAGAACCGTCGCTTATTAACCAGTTTCTTTGCAGACACCTACACCTCGTCGATTTCTGCTTTCCAAGAAACCTCCAGGATCGCAACAACAGACACCAGGCAGCGGCCCGCCCGTCTTCGCCGGCAGCCAGCGCTTCCAGCCCACGCCCCGCTTCGCCCCTCCGTCATCGACTCAGCGACCTCCCGCGACGCCCGTGTTCCCTGGTTCACTTCGACCGTCGAGACACCGAGACCCGATCCACGATCTTCTGGATAGTTCCCCGACAGATGCGCCCGTCTCGGCGACGCGATCGACGCGAGGAGCTGGGACGCAGAGGCAGAATCTTAGGATTGACATCGACTCTGACGTCGGTAGCGATTCGCCGACAGAGGACCAGGATGAGCTGCCGCCAATGGTCGTCGCGGTGAGCGATTCGATCGAGATTGATTCGGAGCCGCCTAGTGTTTTATACAGCGAGAGTGAGGAGAGGACACCAAAGAGGAGAAGGATTTCGGTCTCGCCAGCATTGAGCTGGCAGGAGGAGCCCAAGGAAGACGTTGCCATGGGATACGAAGAGGAAGAGCTTCTCCCTGAAGAAAGCGGATACGGTGACGAGCAGCTGCCAGATGCGAATGATGAGCTTCCCTTCCGCGAGGGTGTGCCCAAGACTGAGGACGACTTGGTTGTTCCTAAGCGCGCTGCAGGAGACCCAGTCAAGACGCAGCCGACCTTTCATCGCGCCCCTCGTTTCAAGCCGTCTGAATCCGAAGTCATTCGACAGGAAGGCCTACCGGAGGCGTTCTCTCCACAGCGGCGAGGCGCAAAGTACGTCGCTGGGGGCCTCGCGGCAGAGCTGCAGACTTGGCTGGCAGAGGTCAAGGGCTGGACGGGCGGTGACCGTCCGGCTGACCTAGTCATGAGCATTGTTGTTGACGAAGTTCGTCATGGAAACAGAATGTACCTTGTTCGGGGACGAAGGATCATGGGCGACGGGGATGTAAGAGAAGAGATTGCGGCGCGGCTTATGCTGGCTGGGGAGGGACAGTTGACGGGCCTGGGACACAAGGCTCCTGTCGTCGTGGGTAGTGTCATTGCGATTTCCCAGCCTGCGTGGGAAATTGAGCTACAAGATGGTAGATGGATCGTCGCCTGCGACTGGGCGGTCTCGTAGAAGAATTGGCATACAACTGAATACACACCAGCAACGTTGATCGCTGCACTTTGCAAATGGACTGACTTTGTGAAAACATTTCTTTGCAGTACAGCCTCGAAAGTATATTACAAAAAGCTATGGCCTACAACTTCAGTCAAGCCGAATCTTTACTTCTCGCTCGAAAATTTTCTGCTTCTTTGCTTTCTTTCTATTTATCTGTGTGTTTACCAAGGTCCATTTCCAATCATCAGCCGGATATTGACTCCTTCCGGTATCCCAGGACGATCATAAGGAGCTCGCCCCGCTGGATGCATAAAACGTTCAAATGCATGTACCCGTATCACCTCAAACCTCAGGTGGCATACCGTCCAAGATCCACTTTTACTCGGCATCTCATTAGACCTTGAAGGCCATCAAAAAAAGATACGTCGATTGAAGCGAGAATACCGCACCCGTGAATAAGAAATCTTTACGAGGTAAAATGTCTCGCAAATAATCACAGCATCATTCGACATCATGACGTGGCTGGCCCTCCGATCAGCCGCCTTTGCGCGGGTGCCAGCTGCAACGACGTGCCGGTCGGGCGCCCGATTCTACTCCGGCGCAACGACCGGCGCCGGCCGCGTCTCGGACCCGCTCCGGATCCTCTTCTGCGGCTCGGACAACTTCAGCTGCGCGGCGCTGACCGCGCTGACCGCGGAAGGGAAGCGAAACCCGGAACTGATTGAGTCGCTGGAAGTCGTTGTTCGGCCGAGCAAGCCGTCGGGGAGAGGGATGAAAAATGTTCGTGAGGGTATGTGGGCGCTTTCTAGACTCTCATGAGGTTGATGACTGTGGATGATTAATGTGAGCTGACAACTGGCAATAGTTCCGTTGAAGACCCTCGCTCAGCAACTCAGTTTGCCGATTCACGTGAGAGACACGTTTACCAAGTGGCAGGTATTGCGGCTCCTCTTTCCCATCATCAAGTGCCATCAAACTGACGCACGCAGCCACCTAGCGACTTCAATCTCATCATTGCCGTCTCTTTTGGTCTTTTCGTGCCGCCGAGATTACTCAAGATGGCAAAGTACGGAGGGTTAAACGTTCACCCATCACTACTCCCAGAGTGAGTTCTCATCCACGTTTGCATCCCCATCGTCACACAGCCCTCTCAACCACCAAATTCTCCAGCTTCCGCGGTCCCGCGCCCCTCCAACATACGCTTCTACAAGGGCGCACGCACACAGGCATCACGCTTCAGACCCTAGATCACAAAGACTTCGATCACGGTGACATTCTGGCTCAGACGCCGCTTCCAGGCATCCCGATCCCGGAAAACTGCAGCACGCAGCAGCTGCTCGACATTATCACGCCGCCGGCCGCCGAGATGCTCGTCGACGGTCTACATCGAGGTCTCCACGTCCCTCCGCACGTGAACGTCGGCTGGAAACAATCCACTGGGGGTTTCATGGAGGACTCATTCGGAGCACCTCCGCACGCGCCGAAGATCACAAACCACGACCGCTGGATTGCTTGGTCGAAGTGGACCGCCGACGACATTGCGACGCGGCAGCGCGTGCTGGGCGGCGTGTGGTCCTCTGCAATCAGCCAGACCACGGGCACAGAGAAGAGGATTAAGTTGGGACGGGTGGACTCCGTACCCCTCGAGGATATGCCTGAGAATATTAAGCAGTTTAACAGACGATTGAGGGGGTATAGGAAAGACCGAATAATTGCAGACGATGCCTCACCGGAGGATGACAAGAAGATGAAGTTTGCCAATTGGATTCAGGGGAGGCAAGACAGGTGTTGGAAAGTGCTTCAGCGTGCCTTTTTTGAGCACGAGGACGGGAAGAGCATTTTGATTCCCCTTGTTGAGGGCGACAAGGTCCTCAAGGTCTCGACCATGATTGTCGAGGGCTCGGTGGAACGTACTGCTGTGAGCGCCATTAAGAGCTTCGCCGTAGTCGGAGATGACTACAATAACGGCTTTACTGGAAGGCGTTCGGAATTCACTCTTGTCCCCTTTTAGATATCAGTGTTGTAGGTGTACGATAGGAAAATGCAGTGACGGGGTTGATCACTGTTCCTTTGGAACTATTACAAACTGATCATCTTTCCGTATGTTAGGCGAGATTCCTGACTAGGCTAGTGAACAGGGAGTCGCGATAACATATTATTATGGTTCCTGGCGCCTTGCTACGTAGTAAACTCCAGGTCTGGTATATATCTCTATTGCCTGGAGTATGTCGAATTTGGAATTGGGTCGATGAGAAAAACCATACAGGGTGCTTCATGGAATCTTCTCAAGTGTCAGTTGCGACCCGTAGACTTGCGAAGAAAGACTCTCAAGGCTACTCTCGTATAAGTGATTATCAATACAGACCTTCTATTATCGAATCTCCATTTTGCTGGCACAACCTGTTCATTCCCTTCGCTAGATCTTACCTTACCTTTCAGGCCGTTTCTTTCGAGGCTAAGTAGGGAGGTAGAGCGATTCTGGATTGAGGAAGGCGCCCCAGACTTTCTCGCAGCCGCTCCTTCCTAAGCCATATCACTGCTTGGTACCCACTCGAAAATCGACTGAGCTGGCGGTCAGGTCAGTCTCGAAATCTGATTCCTTCCATGTTGTTTAACTCATCTTCTTTTCCTTCCGCCCGTCCGCTCTCTCCTCACATCGGCCATCTCCTCCACTCTGGCGTCCGGAGCAAACTAACCAAATATTACCACGTTCTCTGTTTTCTTTTCTTGCAAACACCCGGCTTCCTACAAGTAACTCTTATCCTTTCCGAGACATTCAGCACTTCAAGCAAAGACAGAGAAACTAACAGTCTCTTAGAAACTTTCTTGCGCAGGCAGAAGATACACACTCCAGGACCTTTGCAGACACCCACGACATCATCATCAAAGCTATCAGCATATTCAACATGTCCCCTGCGTTCTGCTCCCCTCAAGCAACCACAGAGAGTTTTCGAGACGATGACCCTCAACCAGCTCAGACAAGCACGCCGCAGTCTCGGAGATCTTCCGTCTTCTCCTCTACAATCTCCCCAGGCTCATATCAGAGCTCAGTGTCGGTCGGTATTGTCGAACCTCCCCCGTTCCGCCGATCACTGGCCCCGACACCCAAACCAAAGACGGCAACGGAGAATCTGCAAGGCAGCTACTCGGAATACCGTCTCGTCACACCACAGCCTCAGTTCCGTCGCTCGGCTGCCCCAAGCCTGAGCGACTATGCTGGGACTCTGAGAGCTCAATCGCATGATGTCCAGACTTCAGTCCATCACGGCGAAGGCGTCACTAGCGAGGAGTCCTCGCGCGGAACGACGGCAGGTATGGCCGATCTCGTGAATGAGATTGACGACCAGATTCCTGACGACCATAAAGCTGCGGAGAGTAGCAAGTGTTTTCCGACCGGTGTCCGAAGCCCCACGTGGAGTCTGCTGACCGCATCCCCCGTCACTCGCCTCCCTACCGTCGACGAAGTCAACGACGACAACGGCAACGACATTATCCGTGATCCCGTTCCGTCTTCTCCCGTAAACTCCACCGCAACGCCCACCTTCCAGAAAGTGTTGACTTTCGGAGCGGAGCCCCAGAAGGATAACCAAGACGACAATACTACAAGCACTCCGTTGCCAAGGCGAACCCGGAACGCTAGGAAGACCCGGGGTTCCGACTCTAGACCAGAGGTCAGGGGCGGCCGGACCGGCAGTCGCCGGGGACGCCGAGCTAAACCTCCTGCTCGGTGGTCCCCCATACTGCCTTGGACTTCCGCTGAAAAAGCGGCCTTCCATGGTGAGTTACAACAGAGAATTGCGGCAATCACTTCCGGTACAGGCATTGACAGTGGTCTCCTGGATGTGCCATGCGACTACTTCGACATGTAGAGCATTTCTTCTCACATTCTTTTCTTCCGATTCGGATGGATCAAAGGCTTTTCCAGCAATTTTTAAGGAGCCATGACATCACACAGGTATGTTGTTAATCGAACAGTATCATTGTGACATTTACGAACTATGACAAGCGTTCTGACCCTCGAGCCTGAAACGCCTACAGGAGCTTCTCAGGCGCTACTCGACATATCTTTTGCCGTCGATCTGAGCATTGAGTAAATTGCTTTCCAAGTTTTCTCCAATTTTTCCTTTCTTGCAAAGTCGGTAGGAAGATCAATCATTTATGTCTCAGTTACCATGCTAACGTCTATCCAGCGCATTTTGAAATCCCATCAACCCATAGCTTGCCCACCACCTGGCACACCATCCTCATGAGCATGCCAATCTCGGACTTGGTAATGCTACGGGAAACATTTGGCAAAATCTTATCCAGTACCAGAAGCCAAGCTAATAAAGAACTCGAACGAATTGGTACAGCAGACATAGACCCTTGGAACTCGATTGCGGAAACTCGGGACTAGACAAATCACACATTGATCACACCTCGACAACCTGGTAACGACTGTAACTTTCCAATTTTCTCTTTGCTCTACCAACACATTACCCTTGAGCCACTCATTACATATGAATATAATCATAGCTTGGAGCCCATCTAACGTCAGACTGACCAAGTCAGGTCCACGTCGAGCCATCCGAATGAGTGAAACACTAAGATGTATCCCCAGCTAATCGACAGCGGTTTTGTACAAGACGCATGCATGCGTCAAGGTCGTGGCAGATGGCGCCGGTCCCCCCCCGCGTTGTTACTCGAGACCGACGACCACGTTTATGCCCCGCAAACAAGTTCCAACTCACACCGATCTGATGATTTACATCATCAGGCCGACGACAACGCTGACAACGGCAGCCAAGCTGAGGGCGCCAGCGGCTCTGACACCGGCTGCGCCGCTGTCGATACCGTTCTGGCTGTTGTTGGATCCGCCCTTGCTGCCACCACCATTGCCGGCCTTGAGCTGCTGGCAGACGCCCATGAGCGTTGAGTTGTTCATCATGGCGTTGAGCTTGGCCTCCTGCTTGGCAGCCTTGGCCTTGAACTTCTCGATCTTGGTGGTGTTGCCCTTGAACTTGTCGTTCAGGGCA